CTGGTTACAAATTTCATTCAATAGCCATTGTATCCTCTTGGATCAGCTCCCCTTTCCAGGTGTTCAAGACGTGAACTTTTCCTTGGCTCTCCAATAACCTCCCAATATCTCTTTGTTCACTACAGCTAGCTATAATTCATTACCTCGAAGATACACGGCCTAACCCCAGACTCCTGCCCCAAGATCCGAAGAAGAGAGCCCAAGTCAGAATGATTGCTGATCACATTGCCTCAGGCATTCAACCACTCCAGGTACTGCCTTGTCAGACCTATGCAAATGAAAAAATCAGAAAGGATTTCCATCTCTGAAATTCTCAGTCTCTTTAAAATTGTTGCCAGCCAACAGGGTGGCAGAACGTCAGACTTGTGAGTTAGCAGATGATACCTGTGCTTAGCCTGTGCCTGATCTGCCAGTGGCAACAACAATACAGTATTTACAACACAGAAAATCACCCCAGGGCTCTTTCTAGAAACAGCTAAACTTATACGGTTTTACTGCTGGGTCTAGGATGTTAGAGGAAGAAGAGAATTGAGCAATCCAAACGCAGAGGCAAAGGGATTCCCTGGGATCTGTTATGGAAGGACAGTGCCAAGAAAAAGATACAGCAAGGTGCATGATTCAGTGAGGGTGAGGTAAGGGCTGACCCAATCCACTGAACTCAGGCTAGGGGTTCAGGCTTGGCAACTCCTTATCTTTCCTCTCCTCCCCCAGATGACAGAGTAGGCAAGATCCAGCCAGCAGCAGTCATCTAACCTAGAGATTGCTTTGCCTTTGCAGAACCTGAGTGTCCTGAAACAAATAGGGGAGAGAAAAACGGAATGGGCTCAGAACTGTATTGCATCTGGCTTTCAAGGTACATCCCGCATCCAAAATTATCAGCATTTTGACTGACCTTACAAAGAGTTGCACTGCTGGCATCCTACTTGACTTTTCAAGCAGAACAACAGAAGCTTCTAGGCTGGTGTGTTGGGGTCCTGCCCTGCCGGCAGAGACAGTGCTCTTCCTGCCCAGAGTCCCTTCTCCAGGGCTGGTAGTTTTCCAGGGTCTCAGAGGAAAGATGATGCTAATAGGGGGCTTCCACTGCTGCACATGGAAGCTTGGGGCCATCCTGCATACTGTAGCAGTTGATTCACTCTGAAGCATGAAGGCTCACAGCACTTCTTTTCCATCCATCTGCTCCCAAACTAGTGCCTTTTGCTTTAAAGTTCTATCAATCTATATAGACATATATATATATGTATGTATTTGCTTTTGTAATCAGACAACAGATTTCTGATGGCAAACCCCACCAGTTTAGCAAGTAGCAGAGTATTTCTTTACCTCTTTTGGAGAAGTAAGGTCCTTTTGGATTCTTCAAAACCCTTTCCCCCATGTGCTGCAATGATGGCCCATCTTCACTTTGGGACAGACACAAATTGACTGAAGCTTTGCATTTCTCCCCTCTCCATTCACATATTTCTACATTATCCTCTTAGTATTTCAGCTGCATTGTCTGAATCAACTGAAATCACCTTGGATCCAAAAAACCTGAAGAACTCTAAAGGCTCCCATAACTAAGCTGTTGTAAGATTCCTGTTCCTTCTAGTTTCTGTCCCAGATTGGTCCTTTTTCATACTCTGCTCATGGTCAAAATGCCCTCCTTCATAATTCCCAGTCTAAAATGTCCTTCCTAAGTCCCAGTCTTTGGTGTTCCTATTGAGTGAGTTTCCAGTGCCTCACTCCAGGGTACCACCTCTCTTGACAGCACTGGAGCAGATTCTGCAGCACACTGCTGGACGCTACTGTGTGGGGGATGAAGTAAGTATCTGAGAGAGTGTTGTGTACCATTACAGAACTGAAAATGCCAGTAACTTCCCTAAAATAGGAAAGAAAATTAGTTGAGGAGACAGAGCACAACCCCATCCTGTGCCTGAAAGTTACATGCAGTGCCTTCACCGTAAGAAAAAGCAGCTGCATGGATCCTACTTAGCCCATTACTGAGTGGAAAGAGTTATGGAGATATTTACTTGTCCCTGCCTATAACCTGCTGATGGCCAGATTCTGCAGCTGTATCTAGGATCTGGCTGTTACTAGACAATGTGGAAGCAGATATATATTTCATCTTTAAGAGATCTGCAGTTCAAAGTGGAGTCACAGGGGCAAAGCTTGGCTTAAGAAACATGGGTTCAGTTCTTACCTCTGCTCTGTGAAATCTTTAACCAACTTGTATTTTTCTGCTCTGATTCTCCAGTTTTAACATGGACAGATTTCACAGAGCTCACATACAAGCTGTTCTGACCCTTGCCGAGCTAAGGGCAGCTCAGGCTTCTTCCATTTAGTAGTTCTGCTTGGCAGACAATTGGATCTTTCCTATAAAAGCTGAGAAAAAAAGGAAGGCTCCTGCAATATCCTGTGATGCAGAGAATTGTCTAGGAGCAGCCTTATGGAGCCCTTGGAGGGCAAAGGCTACTTAGGAGATGTAATCTTGGAGAATAATGTGTTCTCTGAGAAGGACCCAGGACTTTGTGACCTGGGCAGTGGGGCACAGGCAGCTGCCTCTGTGCAGGTAGGCAGCTGGCAGTCTTGTCCTTGAGTCTTCTTTTCGGGCTGCAAATCTCTGAGCCTGTGTGCAGACCCCTGTCGCATATCAAATCTTGACATTGGCAGGAGCTGCTTGATACTTCTGTAGTGCAAAGAAGCAATATTTACTCATCTTTTCCCAGCCATGCAAGCATCCCTCTCCCTCCCTCACGTCCTTCTGCAGCTTGCCAGCAGACCTGTTTGCTCAGAGGCAGTTGCCATAGAAGCAGTGTCCTTCAGGCTATCATGATCAGCTGCTAATTTAAAAAAAAAAAAAAATACCCTAAAGTCTGATGGCTTCTTCTACTAGTGACTGCTATGAACTTATTTTCCTTGTACTGTTGTTGCATTATTTAATGCTGGATTAAAGAATTAGATTGCCATGACAACTCCTCTGTACTGGCTGATAAAATAATGTCTATCCTGCTCTTGAAGCCTGCCACCACTGTGATGGAACAGACTCTGAGTTACTGTAACCCTTTTCTCTGCTACATTTGCAGGTTTCCATGGCTGATTTGTGCTTGGTGCCTCAAGTTGCCAATGCTGAAAGGTAATTAGGGCTAAACTTGAGGCTTTCTTCAAGGGCACCTACACCTTGTGCTGGGCTGTCAGAGCTTGCCTTCTGCTGCTCCTTGTGTGTTAGAAACTATCCCTTCTGCCTGCCCTATCCAGTTTTGGTTCTTCTCTCCATGAATTATTCTATGTAATAAATACTGTCTCTTTTTGAAGCTCTTAGAAATAAGGAGCAGTGCTCTCTTCTCAGAGGACCCTGGGGGGAAACCTGATTTATGACCTCAGAAAAGCTGAGGTTGCCCACACTCCACATTCTCTCTCCCTGTTTGCCTTATATTTAGACTGCACACAGGAGGAAAATATTAATCTGATTACGTTTGTTTAAAGCATCAAACCCATACAAGTAGTGGCTGCATGATTCCCAGGAAAAGCATAGTGCCTTCTTATCCTGTGCTGCACATTATGTAAAAGCCTGGTAAAGATCACAGAGTCACAGAATCGTTGGGGTTGGAAGGGAATTCTGGAGGTCATCTAGTCCAACAACTTCCCTGCTAAAGCAGGTTCACTTAAAGCAAGTGGCAAAGGATTGCATCTGGGTGGGTTTTGAATATCTCTAGAGAAGGAGACTTCACAGCCCCTCCAGGAACTAATTAACCTTTCTAGCATTTTATTTTAAACCTACAAGGACAAATCTTTTCTGTTATTGTAAACGCCTGTGAGATTCTCCCATACTGGGCAGGCATGGCATACTGCTCTGCCCTTCTGCTCACTGCTGTACTGGCTGTCCAACTCTTAGTACTTCATCAGTTCTTTTCCTTTTGCAGATTCAAAGTGGACATGGGTCCATATCCCACAATAACCAGAATAAATAAAGCTCTCTTGGAGTTAGAGGCGTTTAAAGTAAGCCACCCATCCCGGCAGCCAGATACTCCTGCAGAGCTGCGAGCTTGAAGCCCTTCCGCTCATTAAATCTAGTCAGCTGGAGTGACAAAGAAGACACCACCTACAGTCTGAGTGCCAGCAGGAAGCCCTAGTACTATTGTCTCCCTTTCATCTGCATGGGAAGAAGGACAGAGGACCTCCAAGGAGCCTAGATAACTAAGAGGAGTATGCCTGTGCTGGAATGCTTACAGCTACTAGTTTTTTCTATCTAACCTATCTCCATGAAGCAGATTAAAGCAGAAGCATCCATAATTATCATAAGTTCCCTTTGTATGGCTTTGGGCTGGGGAACGTGGCCACAATGTGAGGCATTGAGCCAATTCTGGACTCCCCATAGGTGCTGCTTCTTACTACCATCTACAGAAAGAGCATCAAGGAATCAGTGTATACATTGTGCTTGTCTTTGGAGCTGCCTCAGAGCTACGGCATAGTCATCAGTGCCATGGATATAAACAGTGTTAGTCTCTGATGGAAGATAGCTTAATCCTAACCTTTTTGTTGGGTCCCATGGATCTTGAAAGAGCCAAGTCAGCAATGCTGCCACCCCTTGCAAATAAGAGAATTACTACCTGGGACAGAGGACTTGTACTTATTCCTTATGTAGCAGCAGTTGCACAGAATTTATCATAAAGGTCTGTCTAGAGCAAAGCTAAGTGATTGTGCCATAGTCAGCAAGGCACAACCAGCTCTCTCCCATACACTGAAAATTATGTTCCTTTTCCCTCAAACACTGTTCTAGGTGTTTTCCTAGTTTTCAGCTGCAGACTGTTGCCTAAGGGAATCCCACTCTGGTTCCCCCAAAATCAGAATCATGCCTGTACTTTCACTAGGAGGACTTTCTAAGTGGCAGGAGTAAATCCCATTCCACTCATTCCAAATGAAACCTAACACCTGAGTCACCTTCAGAGTTGAAAGCACCCCATAAACTCCAGCTCAAAAACCTGTAGGGCAAGAAGGGAAACCCAGATCCTTGCGTCTGGGTTCCTGTGCAGGCTTAGATCAGATCTCACTGAATATTTTGGCACCCGAGCCCAGGTACCAAGCCATCCATAGGGGATGGAACTTCTGCCAGTCTGATACTGTATATCAGCTACCCTAAGATACCCACAGCCTTCAGAAAGATGTTACAAACCCCTAATCTCTTGTGCCAAGGTAGCATCCACCTACACACAGATAATTGGACCGCAACATTGCTTGGATTCATTTATTGCCATCCATGTCTGTATTTAGGCTGGTGAAGAGCCCTTGCTGTTCAGGCTCATTCTGAGTATTGTGCATTATCCTAGGTCCAGCTTGATCTTGACTGTGCTGTTGTAAAAGGTTCCTGCACAGTTGGAGCCCCCAAAGACCAACACCGTATGCAGGTTGTGCTCCTCTTTGTTCTCCTTGTCCACATCCATCAGGTGGGCGGGAGTCAGGTTAAGCAATGTGTGGCCAGCTCGGGGCACAGAGCAGAGGTCACGGTGGATCACTGTGCTCCATGAAAGAGTATCTGAAGTAGAAAGTGGCTATCAGTACTGACAAACCCACTCCTAGTGCAAGAGATGAAACAAATGGACCAGACTAGGTGTTCAGAAACACGACTGCAGTCCCACAGTCACCTTCAGCTATGGAATCAAGGCAGGAGAGTCACTCACCTAGGCAGAAGACAAAGGCATCGTGCAGGGCTCCCATGGCATTGCAGCCTCCACTGATCAGAACCTTCTGGTCTGAAACAGCCAGAGCTGCATGAAAACTGCAACCAAAGCAAAGCAAAGGTGACTACAGCAGAACCTGCAGGAGTAGCCTTAGTCAGAGCAATGGGCAGAGATGGGAAGACTTCAGCAGAAGGTTGGGGGCTTAAGCTGCAGAAAGGAAGTTAAATTCTGCTTCTCTTCTACCCTGACTTGCTGAATAATCCTAGAAGAGCTGTATGTTTGCCCCTGCAGATAAGGCCACGATCAGGCCTGAAGAGCACCTCATTCTCTCAGAAGGACCTATCAGAAGTCCTATGTTTTGCTCTAGGGGGGGAGATAGCAAGCTAGTTGGGCTTTGTCCTGATTTAGGTGATTGTCCTGATTTAGTGGGCAACTATGTCCCATTAGGAACAGCACAGTTGGTACAGGAGGTTCTTCCTATCTCTGTGCCACAGTACCTCTCCAAGTACTGAGGAGACCAAACAATACAGTGCACTGGTACACAGCAGAAAGGTTACCCTAGCCTGAAAGGCTGATTTCCAGGGAGACTAAGGGGTCTTTACACCCCAACACCATAGGGACACCAACAAGGACAGGAATTCCTGGTTCCACAGCAGAGGAGCCACTGTATTTTGGCTAGTGGGACAGAGATATGCAACTGGGTCTGATCACCAGCACTGTTTAAACTTGGCTTCAAGGGGAAAGGACAGAGGAAGAAGATAGATCGTGGTCTGCAATAGGATCTTACCAACGTGCAGAAGGCTGTCCTGCAAGGAGAGGGACTGGTGTGTACTCCATGAAACCTGACAGCCAGGGAAAAGGCAGGTGAAATGTCCAAAAAGCTCAGCCTTGTAACTAGATAAAAAGTTCAATGCTTTGCCACATCAGCAACCTGCTTTCTCTATTACCCAGCTTCTTAAAAACAAAACAAAACAAAAACAAACAGTCTTGTTTTTCTCCATTCCCTCCTCTATTACCCCACAAAGCTCCCGGTGGTCTAGGGGAAAAGACACTGCACTGTCACTGCAGAGACCCGGGTTCGATTCCCGGTCGGGGCCCCTCCCCGGGCAGGTGGAGCTCGTTAGCCCGTAAGGCAATCCATCTACGTCCTGAGGACCTCACTGCCACCGTCCAAGCTCGCTTGGCCCCGGCAGACGAACCTCAGGATTAAAGGGTGGGCTCAGTTCTGCGCACACTGTGTCTAACCTAAAAAATCCAATGCGCAGGCTGGAAGGTGGAAAGACCTTCCCCAGTTCTTCGTTCGCGAAGAGACCAGCCAATACATACCCCACAAAGGTGGTGGTGGTTTGTTTTGGTGGGGGATTTTTTTGGTTGTTCGTATTTTTTCCCCCTTCTTTTTTTTAATGCCATAGTTCTTCCAACTCCATTGTCTAGTTAGGAGTTTTTATACTGTTATTGCTACCTTCTCATTGAGCCTGCCTCACTCCCCCAAGTCCCTGTCTTAGAATGGACCTTCCCAAGGCAGCCAAGACTTTCTTACCCAGATCCAGAACGTGCATGTCACTGAGGTAGAGAGAAGTCCTCCGACCCCCAAAAATCAGCAGCTTGTTTTTCAGTAGAGTAGCTGAATGCCTGGGCAGAGAGCAAGTAAGTGAATAAAACATCTTCAGCAAGTTCCCTAAAAACTTCCATTTTAGCCTTGGCTTCTTCTACTGGGGTGCCATAGTTTCAGTCTACACCTGCCTCTACCCGCAGCCACTGCAGCCCAAGGACAGAATCCCATCAGGATTCATAACAGAAGGTACTGAGAGTCACATTGCTCAAAACATAGCCCTATTTTAAGGAGTAAATGGTGGAGAACAATCACCTAGTATTTAGGGGATTACACTGATGGGGGAGGGAAGGCGAGCAGAGGTTTCCTGCTCTATTTTGGAGGGCTAGAATTAGAGCACTCTCACCCAAGCCTAGGCAGAGGCTTCTCCCCTTCTGAGATGGGCTGATACCAAATTTCATGTTCTGGATTGAAGACATAGAGCATGTTGCTGCAGGGTCCAACTGCCAGTGATGCCTTTTTGGGGAAAGTTCCTCCAAAAACAAAGAGCTCCTTTTGGTAGATAGTTGCACTGTGGTAAGTGAGCACCGGTATCTTCCCTTTGGCCTGGAAAAAGTTCAACATATACTTATTACAAGAAGCATATTATTTGCTGCATGACCTATAGGAAAGGGGCCCACATCATGCAGTGAGTTTTTCAAGTCTCAAATTCCACTTAGTTGGCTCCCCAGCCAGACCTTTGCTGCACAGGCAGACAGGACATTCTTTGCATACTCTGCACCACCAGAATACTTGATAAGAGAAGGAAGTCAATCTCCCACAGCAGCTTCCCCAGAAGATGACACGGAACAGAAAGATCTCATCCAGGCTTACTCTGTAAAAGCCATCTTGTACCTTAGCCCAGAAAAGAACAGATGGTCCCTTGCTGACAGGGCGCTCTTCTCAGAGTTCTGCTGTGCTCAGAGCAGTCCCTCATTTGAGAAGACTAGCTCTTCAGCTCAGCATCTGCTGCTGCTCTCAATGGCACCATGTAAAATGAGAGGCCATTTCCCTCTACTGCTTGTACAGTACCTCCCACCCGTGAGCCTGGCAAGACACAGCTCCCTGCAGCAACCATTTTTTCACCTTGCTTCACTCATTGTAGGCACAGTTCCTGATTTCTGTCAAGTTTGCAGCTTTTCAACACAGCTTCTTTTATCTGCCAAACCCAACTATCTCAGATAACCTGCAACAACAGTGAACCAAGGCTACTGCAATAAGGACACAGTCACATCAATTGCCACATTCAGGCAGAACCTGCAACCCTTCCTGAGCTTTTGTCTGGGAAGAGATGCAATACTCACAGCCACGAGGAGCCATTTCCAGGTGACTGTGTCCAGAATGTAGATGCTGCTGTAGTCTTTGTCCTCCCTTATGCCCCCAAAGATGTAGATGCGCTTGGTGTCAGGGTCATAGGTAGCTGTGTGACCATGCAAGCATGATGACATGGTGTTTTGTAGCTGGAAACCCACTGGAAGTTGCTCCCACAAATCACTCTCTGGGGGAGCAACATCAGAGAGATGGTGTGGGAGTTCAGGGATGCTCTTGATTTATCTAGATTTAAAGAATATGCCATAAAATCCATACTCAAAACCTTTCTCCCTCTGTCTCCTCCTCTCCTTTGATTCAGGGCTAGAGGGAACTCATACAGAATTGTTTTTGTATAAGGAATGAAGGGAAATAGCAAGGCGAAAGAGAGGACCCAGTTCGGTGCAGAAAAACAACGCTCTGGATTTGGATCTCACACTTCACAAGTCACCACACACAGACTGGAAACTGCTTTTACCCCTTGCAATTCCCCCAACTCTTTCTAGAACTCATACCTTAGCTCTAGAGGTCTCTCACATACACCCCCAGAGCCTCACATAGCACTCTATGCTGTCAGCTCACCCTGGTGACCACACTAGAAGATGTGACACTTTTGATGTCCCCTCCATATGCACAGACCCCCAAGTGCCCCCTCCCATTTTCATGAGTTGTCTTTGAGCCCCACTGCCCCCATTGCCTTTGATAGCCCTTAAGTCCCCACCAATTTCCAGCTTCCAGAGCACATCCTTGCAGGACTGCTGATCGACACCTTCTCCACCAATCAGAACAGCTGTCCCCAGGTCACTGAGGCACATGGCATGGCACCACCGAGGGCTGGGACTGCCTGAGGAGAGGAGAGCACAGGGCTGTGAGCAGAGTGACATAAGACACCATCAGCTGCCTTCCCTGCTGGGGAGAACAAGACAGCTAAATGCTTAGAAGGAAGTAGGAAGGCAAGGGCCCCAGTCCCTTCCCTCTGCAGTGGCAAAAGACATAGCTCCCTGAGGAACCTTTTCAGTTGGCTCAGGGGAATAATTGCTGTACTAGGAGCGACATTGTGAACAAAGAGTGGCTGGATGTAGGATGCATACAAGGCTTCTACTTCAGACAGGCTTGGATGTCCATTGATTACTCATCCCCAGAGGTGATATCCCAGTTGTGCTATCCCTTGTGTTACTCCTTGTAATGGAGGGCTATTCACAGACAGTTTATTAGTGCCTAAGATAGAACACACAGAATCTTGGAGATGCTTCCAGAGATATTCCTCGTGCTGCTCTGTTCCTCCTCCTTTGCTCTCCCAGGCTCCTGCAGTTGGCTGAGCAAGCTAAAATAGCACCTTTTAATCAAAGTCTATTCCACATCTTACCCTTTTCCTCAAAAGGCTATGCACCCAGAGGTGTTCCTGAGATTCAGAGGGGCTACAGAAGCATACTGGAGAGCCTGATAGTACTGGAAGCACCTATACTGATGGCAGCTGCATGGAGAGGAACAGTATACACACAACATACTTGTTGCCCTTTATCACTGGGGAGATACAGGACAAAGCATGAGAGGCTTTTGATGTTAAAGGGAAGGACTAGCATCACCAAGTGACTGAAGAGACAAACTTCAGTAGGAACCAAATCCTCACCTTGCAACTCCTTCACAGCCAGATCTGCAGAGGGAACACAGAGATAGCCTCATAAAGAAAGCAGCCAGCAGACATACTATGAAAAGTGCTCATCTTCAGTTTCAGAGCCCTTTGACTTTCCTTTCTCCAATCCCCAGCACAAAACTACCTCACTGCAACAAACAACGTGCAAAATCAAGAATCATGAAGAAAGTCTCATCAGAAGAAATCCCCAAAACAGGTAAGAGTAGGGCACACTTCTTTCAACTGCCATCACGCTGTCACCATTGCATTTTACCCCTCTGATGGAAGCTCATTTCCCCTTTCTCACACTGCCTGCAGTGGAAGGATGGAGCTATTTTTGCCTTTGTGAGAAGCAAGCCAAGTCACAGTAAGTCATTTCACATGGGTACCACTGAGCTATTGTCAAACATGTAAACTTGGTCACACCCTGGAGCTGACTTGGAATTCACACTCCAGAAGCCTTTTTACATGTATGAAGAGATAGGCATATTGTGTCACAGTACAAAGTGTTGACACTAGGAATATCCCATGTTTTATTTCTGGCCTTTTCCCGATAGGTAAAAATTCATCAAGCAGTTGATCCAGGAATAAAGAGCATTCTCAGCATTTGCAAGCCAACACAGACAAGCCCCTCATGCCTTGGAGGTATAAAGAGAAGTGGAGGGGGAAGTTGCAGCCCAGCAGCATTGACAGATCATTCAGACAAGACCTGTAAAATAAAGCTGGAAGCTACCAGAGTTACCTTCTTCATCAAGATCTCTCTCAGATGCTGTGGGTTCAAATAAAACTTTCCTGGGCCTCTTGGAATGGACTCTTGGTGGTCCTTGGACAGGACTCTTCCTCCAAGTCTCACTGGATTCCACCTTGCCAGATGATGGCTTCAGGGCATAGGGTACTACCAAGGCCCTCAGTGGCACATGGACATCCTTCCTCCCAGGCCTGGATCCTCTAGCAGCTACCTCTGAGCTCTGGCTCTTAACCTGTGACAAGAGTCCCAGTGAAATCAGCTCTGAAGACCTGAGGCTACTGTGAATTGTCTGTTACTGGGCCATAGATGAGTTTCACTTGTTTTCAGGCTCATCCTCCCATTGAGTCCTAAGGGCCAGCATGCCAGTATTAGCTGCCAAACAGATGCTGAGCAATGCAGCTACCTGCTGCTGTGTGCTATGGTCCACTTTTAAGCTGCTGGGCACAGCTGAACCAGGCAACTGGAAAGGCAAAAAGGCCCTCTGTGCCAATAGTAAACAGGCTGATCAATCATCCCACCAAGCACAATTAAATTCAACCTTCCCAAAGTAATTTCAATGAAGAATACCTCTTTCTCTAGCACAATTGAATCTTTGGCTCCAAAACTTGCTTAGCCAGGTCTAATCAAAAGAGTGGCAACAAATGTTTCTGCTAGACATCAAGTGAATGGCCACTGGTGAGGGGGAAGTTACTAAGGAGAAGGTGAAATAGTAAGAGGAAGGTGCCAGGATACACATACCGCAATTGGATCCTGCAGGTCCTGGCCAACAGGTCTGTCATCTGCTGGAAGCACTGGTGACTGGGTAGTCTCTGGGACAAGGAAGGGGTGGACAGGTGTACTGCTGGAGACACCTCGGAGCAGCTGTGGCAGAAAAAGTGAGAAAATAAAAGGACATAGCAACTGTGCCAGCCTCCAACCGCAAAGGGTGGGCAAAAAGATGTCTTGCAAGGCACTGATCCCCTGCAATGGTATAGCCCACATTTCATCTCCCATGCCAATAGAATAAACAAGGAAAAGGAAAGCCAGGGACTGCAGTATGCTAAATCCAAGGGCTTCAGTACAAGGTAAAACAACTGTGTAAGTACCAAAGACTCAGGAGAGAGTGGAACTGGAAGTGAACTGCTCTCTGCTGCCAGTCTCCTGCAGCGTAGGTGTTCTGGAAAAGCTGTGTTTAGAGAGGGTGGGCCTGCAGCATCATAGAGGGCTTGCACTCAGATCCACATTTGTCAGCTCTAACTTGGAGTAGCAAAGAGAAGGAAAAGGAGAGCATAGGACAGGAAATTCTGTGGCTCAGAAGTGGTAACAAATGGGATCCCAGGCAGGAGGAGAGGAGAATGTCGTTTTACCTGTCCATTGACAGTCAGGACAAGCCTCACAGGATTGCCTTTGTCCATCTCTTTCAATGAGGCCATGAAAATATCCATTCTCCAGTCATCTTCCCACACCAGAGACCTGCACAAGGGACCACCACAGGTTTTCAGCCCACAGCTGACACTAACCAGGGCAAAAATCCTCCTCCTACACTAGATAGTAAAAGCCCAAAGCCCAAAAAGATCCAACCCTGAAAGCATCACTAGAGAGAAACACTATGGTGGAGGACCAGCCGGCAGCTTTGGGACTACACCAGCAGAAGCAGGTAGCACCAGAGATCAGAAACTTTTCCAGTGTGCCCTTCTTGACATCCCAGCAGCTCCTGCCATAACCTGCGTGTGGGCTCCAGCATGCCAATGTGCTGTGGTGCAATGCCTGGGGACACCAGCAAGTCCACTGCAATGCTCGTGTCTGGAGAGTAACAGCTCCAGTCTCCCAGGCTGAACACCACCAGCTGCTTTGGCAACGGCAGGGGCAGCCAAGCCTGGAAACCCATCTTGCTGGACTGACTGCGAGGGAAGAAAAACAACAGATATAATCATCAAGGAGTAAAATGGAAGTTAAAGAAAAAAAAAAGGCATTAACAGGCCTAAAAACACTCTTGTGCTCGGAAACGGCAAAAGGAGAGGGCCTGTGTCATTTGAAGATGACACCATGATAAAAACAACGGGTAGACTGGGAAGCGAGCGCCGCCACGACCTGGGGCAGCGCAACCGTGTGGGCAGGGGCAGCTCCAGGCACCAGGGCCAAGGCCAGGCGTGCAGGTGTCCCCGGTCTCGGGGGAGCCCACCCTGGCAGAAACCGGGCCGCGTCGGCCCCATCGCTGCTTGCAGCCCCCGGGCCGGGCCGGGCCGGGCCGGGCCGCACCTCCCGAGGCGCCGCGGCGGCTCCCGCAGACCCCACACTACGTAGAAGGCGAGGCCGCCCCGCAGGGCGCGGTCCGCGAGCCCCAGCCGGCCCCGGCGGCGGGCGGGCAGCATCGCGGCGGGCAGGGCGGGGGCTGCCAGGCCCGCCTTAAGGCGGAGCGGGGCAGCGGGGGTGGCCCCGGCCATCCCAGCCCCACAGCTGCAGAGGGGTCCGGCGGGCCCGCCCTGCCCGCGCCGTCTCGGCGGGTGTTGGGAGCGCCCGAGCGCCGGGGCGAGAGCAAGGCCAAGGCCGGCCCCGCTCACGGCGGTGCCGGTGGCAGCCTTGGCAAGCTAGGAGGCGGTCGGGGGAGCAGGACTGGCTTCTGGCGCTCCGAAGCCGGGCTCACCTCTGCCTTTGTATCAAATATACAGAATCAATTAGGTTGGAAAAGATCTCTGAGATTATCGAGTCCAACCTATGACCGAACACCACCCTGTCAACTGGACCATGGCACTAAGCACCAGGTCCAGTCTTCCCTTAAAACACCTCCAGGGACTCGACCACCTCCCTGGGCAGCCCGCTCCAATATCTAGTCACCTTGCCTGCGAAGAAATTCCTCCTAATGTCCAATCTGAACCTCCCCTGGTGCAGCTTAACATTATGTCCTCTCTTCCTGTCGTTGGTTGCTTGGGAGAAGAGGCTACCCCCACCTGGCTACAATCTATCTGTTTTCAGGTAGTTGTAGAGAGCGATAAAGTCTTCCCTAAACCTCCTCTTCTGCACGCTGAACAACCACAGCTCCCTTAGCTGTTCTTCATAGGGCTTGTGCTCCAAACATTCAAAATTTCTAGAGCCCAAGCCATATGTCCGTTTCCAGAGAGGGATAATTTGCTTGCTGATTCCTAAATGATGGTATCTGTACGCATTTCTTGTAGCCTTCACAAAAAAGGAGCAGATGTGAACCTTGCTTCTTTCACTTGGCAGTCAGGGTTCCTATCAATGAAACCTTAAACAATAATTACATGTGTGTGTATGTATTACTACAGACTCCATTGTGTGTCTGATACCACCTGTCTAGCAATGGGTAGCTCTGCTAAGCTGAAAACTGCTGTTGATAATCAAACACCACTAAAGGCAATGACAAGACTTCAGCAGCAAAAGAACAATATTCTCCCTCTGCAGCTGAATCAGGGAAGAGTTGCCTCCCTGGCAAGACCAACAAAGCCTGCTGCAAGGCCTTTGCTGAGCAGCTCATTATCAGAGCATTTCTGCTGCAGCCCAACCACAAAAATTACGCAGTGTGGAGCAAAAAGAACTAATGTATCACTTCCCTGCATCCCCGCTGTTTTCCTTACTTTTCCTCTTGCCGATATGCCTGAGCCAAGCACAAGGATAGGGATGCATAATAAGTGCAAGGGGATCAAGTAGCTGTAGCAGTGTTTCTCTTTGGTGATCTTAAAACACAATGAAACATCTTTAACTTCACAGAACCATCTATCCCTTTGATCAACTCACTTTATGATTGCTCTTGCCCATCAATTATTTTATAAAAGTGCTCCACAGAAACGTTGGACTAGAACTGAGACAACTGAACTCCTGAAGCACTTGTCCTGCCAAACTTCATGAGATAGGTGAGAAAGGATTAGTCTGGCTGCAGGCATCATTCCTCATTTTGACCAGCAAATGCTTCCTTCAGTACATGTAAATATAATCTTTCTAGTATGATAAAGTTGATGAGCAAAGCAGCTGTGAGGAGCTATGAAGGGCAAACACTTTTGTCTAGACAACTCAATGTGTATCTGGTAACTGAAGAGATGTTTTTAGCTCTTCAGATTGAAAGTTGAAGTAAGAGAAGAGCTACTTATAGGGGATCTCTGCAAATGGATATGACAAGTACCAGCATGAAGCACTAGAGAGTAAAATATTCAAACTCTATCTGTGCCCATGAGCTTGGCTACTTGCTTTTCCTCTCCAATTCTTCAAGCATTCAGTACAATCGCAAGCATTGCAAAGAATTTGAAGATTTACACGAAAAATATCCCAGCAAGTCATTTTAACAGGACAAAAAATTTCCTGGCTGGAGCCATCATCACCAGCTGACAACAGAGCATTTTCCTATCCATTTGCAACCAGAATGCCCCATATACTGCAAAGTACATTTTGAGTATTTGCCTCTTCTTTGTTCATAAAACTAAGTTTAATTGTATTCTTGTTTTATTGGAAAGTCCGTAGCTCAGTTTTTCAAATCAAGATATTCACTTGCTTTAAACAGAAGACAAAGTTCTTGGTTGCATAGTGAAAAGTTTATTTAAAGGGAATAAGTTTCAATATATTATTACAAATCAACCACAACACATCAAATATAAACAATACAAACCAAGTGTGGAAGGAAAGCATACTATAAATATAGTCTTCATATATGCCCTTTGGCAAGAGGTCCAGTGCCACATTTTGTTAAAATATCCTCTTCTCTATTTAAAACTCACACCTTGGGAGCCCATGAAAAGCAATTGGTTAGCACTCAATTTTGAAATCACAGGACATCAAAAATATTCGCATCACATAGATAAGGACTGGCAGACAGCCATCACAGTTCACAAGAACGCAGGTCTGAAAAAGGTATGACCAGCTACAAGATACTCGCCATTGAAGGACTATGATAGAGGCTTGGAGCTGTGACTGGAGGGCAGCCTGCTTCCCTCTGAGGAGGGCAGTCACCAAGGCATCCTGGAGGTTGCAGGGAGAACATCTCCAGCTATTTATAATTTCCAAATGTAGCTCCTAAACTTCAAAGTCAGTACTTGGCAAGCCCTCCTTAGCTCTGGTCCTTTGTGGCTGGCATTCTGCTTCTTGCCCAAGGGACTTGACTCACCAGTCCAGATGGGCTTAAAACAGATATCCCTCACTGATGGGATTACAGAATTCTTCCTCTCCCCCTGCCCAATAAAGGGTACATTTTTGTATTATGCTTCTCAGAAAGCAACATGCAAAATCCAGAATGGATTGTAGAAAAGCCAAAGGGAGTCAGATCCACCATTCACCTGGACTGATGTTGTATCTTCAGCTGCAACAGCATCATTGGTTCAGAAGTAGCAGCCAGGGACTCTTTCCAGGCAAATGTGGAATATCCCCACAGAAAATTCTCCTCCTTGCAATATACATTTGAATTCTGCAGTTTTATGTACCTTCTAAAACTTTATTTAGTTGGTATTTACTGCAAATCAATTTATTTAAATAAATGATGTAGCACTTTGACTCCTGCTAAACTCTTAGCTTCTTTCATAGACTAATTAGCCAATGTATTTAACACAATCAGCTCCCAGTTTTTCATTCTGACAGTTAGGAAGTTCTCATTTGTCTACATCACTTACATGACATTGTCACAGCAAATATTTCCCCAGATACGAGAAAAGGAGAAACAATCATTTCTTTCACACTTCTAGAAGGGAAAAAAAAAAGAAAAAACAAAACACCAAAAAACCCAACTTTGCTGCTTTGGTCTCTTATCCAGCCTCAATATGCGTAAGCACACACCACTCACAACACTGGATTCTGACATAATTTTCTTTTAGAGAAAATGATGAATGGCCACAAGGAACATTTTTCTATGTCTATCTAGTGTTCCTCTGGTCCTTGGATTTAGCATCAAAAGGAGTAGTCCTCTGGTGTTCCTAGACAGCAGCATATGATTTTAAAAGGCAAAGAACATATGGTGCCAGGAAACTCAAATACCATTGTACTACTCGTCTTACAGCAACAAGGCAGTCTACGAACAGCTTAGATCTCCACCATCAGTCCACAGGGGCTCTCCTTGCCTGACCGTAGGAAGTGCCTCCCCGCTATCCAAATGGGCAGAGAAATGAGAAGAAATCCCTTGGATTAATGACACATATGACTCTGATTTCAGACATGCTCCTTGTTCCTAAGGCACCTTGTGATAAATCCTCTGTAGAGTGGCATTAGTAGGGGTAGTGAGACAAGAAGGAAGGGTGTAAGCAGTAGGGATAAAAGTGAACTCATTTAGGGATTAATTTTCTACCTTAATTCCCCACAAGAACAAGTCAGTCTTTCAGCAAGTAGACATGTAACAAGGTGCATCTCAAACCCTACTCACCAGGACCAGCACGGTGGTAACTGATCCGCTGCAGGCCATAGATGGAGGTTACATGCACAAAAGGTTACAAGGAGACAAGCACACTGCGTAGAGCCACAAAGAAAGGCATGTGGCTGCCTTCTAGACTCTACTTTCTGAGCACCTGAAGTCAGGCAACTAAGGTCTTTCTCTTACGCATTTTCATCTTACCTGTTCGGGTATTTAAATGGGTCCCAAGCATTAATTTGCTACAAGCCTATGTCAGGAGAACATGTATTACAGACTTCCAAAGAGTCTGAGTAAATGTAATCAGTACTAGTGGTCCCTGATTTAAGCAATTTAGGTCTATATCCTCAGTAAAACACATATATTTTAAACTCCTGATGCTACATGTCACCTAAAGTGAAAAAACAAAGACAACAGAGAGCTTATTATCTTTTCTGACAGAAAAAAACCCCAAGAGACTGTTACCATTATTACAACTAAGCAATTATGCAAGCTACTTTTTATACAAGTCCTTTACAACAGAACTGTCTTATATCTCTGGCTGGACATGTGAATTTTATTTAGATCTAAATTATATTCAAAACAAAATGGAAAATATTTTTGTGTTTTCACAAAAGCAAACCCAAAATGCAAAAGCAGCTTCTTCCTCGATTTAGCTTTCTGAATTTCTACACACAATTACAGAGAGAAGAAACATATTTTTAAAAACCTATCTGAAATTTTCCTTCCACAACATCAAAGAAGAAATTTTTGTTTCCTGAGGATTAATTTCCCTCTCTGAAGTGCAACTGCATTTTTAATTTATTTTTCTTTCTAGACTCAAGGTCTAGAAAGAAAATTCTCTATTTAAAATAAGAAGGGTTTCCATAACTGCCTAAGCCAGGTAGCAGGGTTGAATACAAACCTGGGAAATACACCAAATTGAAAAAATGATGCATGCAAAATAAGATTACTTTGAAACAACTATGGGTTTAATTTTGAATGGGAATGGCTGCTGTTAATCACTGTCTACACAGCCAAGCTATTGGATTTATCAAAGAATTAATAGAGACTGTGTACCTTCCAAAGAGGAGTTGTCACTTGGATAATGAATGCTACCTGAATACC